TGATAGATGGTTACGCAAACGCAAGGACCCGAGTTTGATCCCCGGTACCAAAAAAAAAAGAAAAGAAGAAAAAAAAAGAGGGGGGGGAAGGGGGAGGGAAGGAAAGAGAGAGAGAGAAAGAGAGCAAGGGCACACAACCCAGCAGCTCAGTGGCACTGCACCTGCCTTGCAAGCACAAGGACCTGACTTTGATCCCTGGTACAAAAAAAAAGAAAGCCAGCCAGGAAATGAAGAAAACCCCCTGATATCAAAATTAAGATGATGAAAAGCATGACACAGGTGGTAGAATAAGGGCAGTGCGACAGAAACTAGCCCCAAGTCATACAGCAGTCCATTTAGGAACAGGTGTACTGCAGGCAAAGAGCCAGGAGGAGTGAGCTGTAGCAGACGTAGAAATAGTAACGGGCACAGCAACATGGGAGGGTCTTCAGGAACAGATGGCATGCCAACAACTTGTTCTGAACTGTGCTGGCACAGTTCCCTGGCTGGCACTCAGGGCTCAGCAAGACAGCAGGCAGCCAGGTAGGGCTCAGACTATGCACAGGTTCTTGGCAGCTGGGGGAACAGTCAAGGCAGGGTTCCAGGCTTGTTTTTCAGATGTAGCACAGTTAAGGAGGAAAACTGGTTGGGTGGAAACCAGAGAGACCTAGAGATAGGGGTATAAGGAAGAACTTGAGGGCCAGGGATTTAGCTCAGTGGTTCCACTGCCTGCCTCACAAGCTCAAGGACCCAAGTTCGATCCCCTGTACCAAAAAAAAAAGCAGCAAAAAAAGGAAGAACTTGATTAGAAGGACAGAGCCATAAAGCAGACTGGGCCCCAGTCAGAAGAGGCTCAGAGCCATGTGCTCAATAGCACATCTTTCAGGCCAAGGGTTCAAATATCCTCTCCAAGAACACCACTGCTCCTTGAATGTGACATGGGACTCAGTGGGCAGAGTCGGCATGACAAGCCAAGGAGATCACCAAGCAGATCGCCGTCAGTTGTGAACACCCAGAAATGCAGTGGTCTCTCACTCCCCACACTATCTCCAAGCCCACCCCAGCTACTTCCCTTACCAAGGTAATTTAAAAAGAAAAGTTAGGGGAAAATCAAAACAGTTCCAATTTTGTCCATGCCATGATGCAAGGACAGTCCCTAAAATATTAATGATTATCTCTGACTGGTGAGGTTATAGATAAAATCAGATTTATTTCTAAAGTTGCAGCCTGTTTCTGAACATTCAACCGTAAACATGGATTATTTTTATGAGCAAAAAAGCAGGGAGTCTGTTTTGAAGGTTACCATATTCTTATGTACACGTGACTATATAACAAGTAAAAGCTCTCTTTTAATGGCAATTTATTTAAGAATAAGGTACCCTAAGAATAAGGCAGAAAAGGCAGGGCAGATAACCTCAGAGGTCTCATTAAGTAACAGAGCCCAGCGTCCAGAACTCTTAAAATTATCCACAGAAGGGCCGGGGATTTAGCTCAGTGGTCTTGCTGCCAGCTGTGCAAGCACAAGGACCCAAGTTAGATCCCCGCTACCAAAAAAAAAAAAATTATCCACAGAAAAACTGGAAATAAAGTTTCTCCAGACATTCCAATTCACCAAATGTGGGTGAGCCTTGAATTTTTTTAATATCTACCCCTCAATTAACAGATTTTGACAGTAACAGGCCCATACCTTGAGGACCCCTGAACTAGATTACAGTTAGTTATGCTGACCAAGGTGACCATTTCTTTGTCATGCAAATCCCTGTCAAGCCAGTTTACCCCAGTGCTGAAAAATCTCTTCCTTGATACAATGATTTCTCATCTTTGAACATATCACATAAACGTAAAAGCACACAAGCACAAGCTGGCTAATACATTAAAAGGCACTCTGTACTAATAGTGAATTTGAGAATAACTTGGCTAATTTTTATTTATGGAACATTCTGAACAAACAACAGAACATAAGAAACAATATAACAGACACTCAAATTTATGGAGTACCAAACAAAAGTAATTTGGTCTTTTTCAAACTTACAACAATTCTCGCACCAGAGTCTCCGTGCTGCCAACAATCTTGCCAAAATCTGATGATCTGTGACTCATTTCTGTAGAAGATAAACAACAAAAATAGTTTTATTTCAAAACCAAGTGAACATAGGGTTTATAAAAGGAAATAATACAGGAAAATTTCAGTTATTTTTCATTCAAATTGCGAGCCCATGCTCAGTTAACATAGAGGACAGCCCAAATTGACTTTTTAATTACAAACATTTTTATCTTACAGTCACTCTAGAATGATTTTTAAACTGTCACATTCAATAAACAAGCCACTTATTTACTTATCACTGAGTTGCCTGTGACTCTTCTTCATACCATTGCTTTCTCACACAGGAATCCATGTGCAACCTTCCACGCTGAGATCTCACTTCACAGAAATGCAAACATATATAGCAAACCCACAGGAAAAAATGTAACAAAATAAGCAGTACACTTAATCCTACAGTCTCTTAATATCTCAGTCTTTGGTACTTCCCCCCAAAAAGAAATTTAAATTAAAAAAATAAACTGCAGAACTCAAAGGTCCAATATTCTTCCATATGCCCCATAAATAGAGGGAAGAGAAATTCAGCAATGAAATTATTCATGTGCACGGTCAGAAGGGTTATGTACTTTTAAACTTTAATAAGTTTGTATTTACGTACACTAAAAACTCTAAGTTCAACATGAAGCAATATTATAAATGTTTAGTGGCACTGTAATGTAAATGTATGGACTATCTTCCGACCCCAGTTCCTGTGATTAACAAAATCAATCATGAGACAGTTTGCCGACATGTCTAAGCCTCTCACCAGTACTTATGCTGTTTTCAGAACTGTTGCTTTGTAGCAAACATGCAACCCAAGTTATTAAAGTTTAAAAACCTAACTTCAGGGCCGGGGATTTAGCTCAGTGGTTTTGCTGCCTGCTATGCAAGCGCAAGGAGCCGAGTTAGATCCCCGGTACCAAAAAAAAAAAAAAAATCAAAAACCTAACTTCAAAGATTATGGGAAGATCCAGTAGAAATTTAGGCTCAGTTCATTTAAACGAGTTCTCCTTTAAACTCAAGCATTCACAAAATCCACATGCAAATCTTACCAAGAACACTAATGCCAACTCCTTTGTAGTCTAGTAACTCTTTCTGCAACTCCAGTAACACCTAGAAAAATAAAACAAAAAAGAGGATTTCCACATGCTGTGCACAACTTTCCCTTTATACAAAAAAAAAAACAAAAAAAACCCTGGGGAAGGGGACCAGAAGGGAGTCCAACCCAGGACTGGAGGTTCCCCACCCCTGTCCCCACCCACAGCCAAACCTTCTCCTCCTGCTCCCCTGGAGTTTGAGTGACTTGCTCACTGATGCAACTCACACAAGTTGGGCTTGAAATTGGGCGAGGCGATTAAAGCTAAGGTACACTTTTTCCAAAGGCACAAATTCACCAATTCCCTAGGAAATATATCCACAAATCTCACCCTCCACTCTCTTAAAAGTACAAAATGGATAAAGTTCTGAATTATGCAGATAAGTCAATTTTCCAATCTTTTTTGGTCCAAAGTAGTATACTGGGACAGTGGGGTGGGTAGGAAGAAGAAAGAACCTGCTATGAATTCAGATTTATCCCAGGGGCTGGGGCTGCAGCTCATTGGCAGAGTGCTTGCCCCTGGGATGACTCTTATTCTTGTGAATGCCCTAGTATGATCTCCAGCACTCAGGAAGAAAAAAATCATCCTAGAGTGCTAAAATAAGACTGGCAAAATGCAGTAGCTGTGGAGGATCAGAGATGGATCCCCAAAGGTTCATTATATTATTATGAGCTTTGTGAACTGGGGATCTCCATAACAAAAACAAAAAAGACCAAAAGCTAAAAAAATAAAAATGAACAAAACGTATGTGCACAAGACTCTCTGTAGAAGAATCCAAATGGGAGTTAGCTTCTTTGAAATATACTAAACAGGGATTGGTGGCACAGCAGTAATCCCACCACTTGGGAAACTAAGGCAGGAAGATCTCAAGTTTGAGGACAGCCCAGGCTACATTCCAAGACTATTTCAAAAAAAAAAATATCGGGCCGGGGATTTAGCTCAGTGGTTTTGTGGCCTGCTGAGCAAGTACAAGGATCCGAGTTTGATCCCTGGTACCACAAAGAAAAAAAAAAAAAAAAATATATATATATATATATACACACACATACATACTAGGTAAAGTAGGCGTCACTAAAATATACACTGGATTGTAATTTGTCTAGAAAAATAATATTTTAACAATAAGAATTAGACAAAGAGGGGCCAGGGATTTAGCTCAGTGGTTCCGCCACCTGCCTCAAAATCACAAGGACCTGAGTTCAATCCCTGGTAACAAAAAAAAAAATAGACAAAGATTGCTCTGACAACAAGGTTCACTGTTGGTGCTTATTTACACTAGCTGATCAATTATCGTGATTTGATCAGTGTATACCTTGAATACATGTACTGAAATATCTTATTGTGCCCCATAAATAAGCACTATATAATTATCACATTCAATCCAAATATTAAAAATAAACTGTAGTGAATCCTTCCATACAGTAAAGAGAAATATTTATCTGTCACAGAATCTCCTTCATTGGCTCTAGAGATTTCAGGGCCTACCTTTGCACGTGCTAAGCAGGCCTGTTCTACCACTTAGCTACACTCAAGTCCCAGAATCATCTTTGAACTGGTTTCAGTACTGTATTTTTCTTTTTTTGGGTACCAGGGATCGAACTCAGGACCTTGCACTTGTGAGGCAGGCGCCATCACCACTGAGCTAAATCCCGGGCAGTACTGTATTTTTCTTATGGCAACATTCCTTGAAAAATATATCTATAAAAGTTTATAATCAAAATCATTAGTTTTTTTAAAACACTTGTAGCCAAAAAGCACAGCCCTTTTGATCCAGTAGGTTTTTTTCCAAACTGCAGAATTCAACTGTTTTTATGCTTCACAACTAATCTATTTCACAAAACAGACACACTAGAGCAGAACGGAATACAAAATAGTAAGTCACAGATAATTTGGTTAAATATTTCCCAAGACTTTTATTTTCATTATAATTATGTGCAGGTATTTCGTGGTTTTGTAAAATGTATTTTTCACTGTAGGCGACAGTCAAAAATGAGTTTGAACGCTGCTTGAATCTTTACCGTTCAACTAAACCAACAGGACACCTAAAAACAATCTGCCTCCCAGGTTACAGGGCAATGGAAGCCAAAAATCCTCCCAGGAAAATAAATAACCATTGTATTACTGATGCCCATTGCCACTATAATCAATTTCATAACAAACTACACTGGAAACAAATACTTGGAAGGCTCCAAAACAAGCCACAGGGGAGGGGGCGGACCTATGGGAGCCGTTCCCACAGTTCCAGCAGGGGCTCTCACCTAAAATGAACTAATAGCAGAAAAAACTAAGCCCGGTTCTCAGGCAGGGAGAGCTTTTCTAAAAGCACGCGGTCCTTTCCCTCTCCCGTGTTAGAGCCTCTGTTCTCACCACACAGAGGCGGCTCTGTCCCCGGACAGCGCTGCTCCGTCCAACAACAGTAACTGTAAAACACTTGGCTTTGCCCCGCTGCTGCCACTCACTATCAGATACAACAGCTCGGAGGCTTCGCCTTCCTCACTGTTGGCAGAGAGAGGGGAGGGGGAGAGGGGCTGTGGCCCGCCCAGGAGGATGGAATCTTCCCACTGCTCCAGAGCAGAGCCCACCAGATTTCAGCACACTCTCGAACGCCTTTAGGGGACACACAGGCTGAAAGCGTCAGGGGAGCGGAGAAAGGCCTCGGGGGACCGGCTGGTCCCGCGAAGGACCTGGAGGAGGCCGCGGAACTGAGACGCCCCGGATCCACCACCCACCGGTCCGTTCCCACGGGCCACCGCGCACACGCGCGTCCTCCAGGAGTGCGCGGCCGGGGCGGGCCCGGACCGCACGCGGCAGGCTCCCTCCCGGCCGCGAACTGAAGCCCGGCCGCCGGTCTGAGTGCGCACGCGGCTAGAGCGCGGCCGGACCCTCGCCGCGGGGCGCAGGGAGGAACGCATTCCCACCCGCGCGCGCGCGAAGGCCGAGCCTTACCGAGCGCGGCAGCTTGGCGGGCCCGGGCCCGAAGTTGACCACTTGCTTCAGGGCGTCCATGGTGCTGCGCGGCGCGGCGCCGGGCTGCGGGCGGCGGGCGGCGAGCGAGGTGGGAAAGCAGGGCTGGGACAGCCCACAGCCCGAGTCTCCTGGCGGCGCGCGCGTCTGCCACGGCTCCAGCCCTCTTCCAGCGCCTAGCCGGCGCTTCATTGGCCCGCCGGCGCACACCCTGCGCTGATTGGCTCTCGCGCCGGCGCCCGCGTCCCCGTAGGTCACGCTCAAGAATGGACGCAGTCGCTCCTCCTGGTCTTTAGTGTTTTGACCCCTCCTTTTCGATCAATGCAAGGCGCGCGGGAGATTGCACCAGCCGGCGGTGGGCTGAGCGCCCGGGCGAGGATCGCCTACGGCAAAAAGAGGCTGCTCCTGCCAACCTGTTCCCGCACGCTTGAGCCCTGGATCAGACCGGTTTCAATCCTCCGACACTCACCCCACCCCCTCTCTTTGGGCCTGACGGGGAGATGCGGGGCAAAGCAACAGCTCCCCATCCACCCACCTCCCCTAGGCAGAGTTCTGATGCTCTTGATCCAGAACCAGCAGTCATTAATTCACCAAACTTCTAAGCACCTCACAGGCACTAGATACTCCAGTGCAGGGCAAAGGGTGGCCGGGGATGCTCAAGTATCTAAGATTCTTTGTTCTTGCACTTGGACCCCGAGTTACTGCACGTGAAAGGATGGAAGTGGCCAAGGACGCTGGAGCCTGCGTGATCCAGGCAGGTTGCTGATTCTCCATTTCCTCCCTTGCAAAGCTGGCAGAAGAGCTGGGACCTGGAGCTAGCTCTCGGGTTGCGCCCACGCTGACAAGCTTCGAGTTTGGAAACGTGAGCAAATATTAACAGGAACACGATCCTCGGGGAAGCTGCCGCCAGAGTCAAGGAAGCTGGCCCTGCGCCACGCTTGGCACACCGCCAGCCCTGCTCAGATTTCTAGACAAGTTCCCTTCCCTAAAGAACAGTGGAGAGGAACGTGGGGCCCTCTTCCCTGCAAGAAAGGAGATCATTCCTTGACGTCTGGAATTTCGTCATTTTAAAATTTTACCTTCTATTTCATAATTTCACCTAGTTTATTTTACTGTGGAAATATTTTCCTAAGTCTTCAAATTGATGGGCCAGGAACCCTCGCGGGGCCACTAGGGGGCCTTCTGCAGCTCCGCTACTGCTTCTGCTGGAGTCAGGCTGGCAATCTGCCTTTCTGGATTTGGGCTTCTGTTTGTTAGCTGTGGCATGTGGGCAGAGTGGGCCTGAGAGCTCAGATACTACTTCGGGTCTGGGAGTTGGAGGACAGAGTTTCTAGAAAAAGCTGAAATGAACAAGATCACTGCCTTCCCCAGCACCTTGATTTAGAATATTGCAAAACTGAATAGAGTATGACTCCCAGTCCATAAACTCAGATGTGTAAAAATTGTCACATATTCATTATTTTATAAAAGAACTTGCCGGGCCGGGGATTTAGCTCAGTGGTTCCGGCGCCTGCCTCAAGGTCCCGAGTTCAATCCCCAGTACCCCCCCCCCAAAAAAAAAAAAAACCTTTAGATCCCTAGCTGCTAATCTACTAGCGCAAGGACCCGAGTTCAATCCCTGGTACCAAAAAAAAATGCATACTTAGGGCCAGGGATTTAGCTCAGTGGTTCCGGCGCCTGCCTCAAGGTCCCGAGTTCAATCCCCAGTACCCCCCCCCCAAAAAAAGAACCTGCCTTTAGATCCCTAGCTGCTAATCTACTAGAGCAGGAAAGGAATCAGCGTTCATCCTTGGAGCTCGTTAAGCCAGGGATTTTATACACAGTCCTAGGGAGTGACTTGTGAGAAGGAGCCACATATGTATTTGGCCCACTGTCCCCAGAAAATATGGCTATTTCACCACTGCCCAGGTTTATGTGGCTGTTTCAGTCCACTGGCAACCTATGTCTTTTGTGTCCCACGAGGAGCACAGGAATTTGGGATGGGTAGAAGTGGCTGTGGTCTCCCTGAAGATCAACAGCTTCCAAGATACTTTAGGGCAGCTGGTTACATGTACCCTCTGCCTCAGAGCCTGTTGATCTCTTGTCTCTTCCTCCTAGCCCAGGGAAAATTTTTTTGTATTATAGAAATGATCTCTCTTTCCTTGTTTCTCCCTCAAGAACCGTCCATAAACTCTGGGCACCAAGACCACAAATACATGTCTCCAGGGGACAAATCCATGTCACCTGGGGACAAGAAGGACACTAGAGGGAGGGGCTGTAGTAAATTGAGCGCATATAACCACTTGTGGTGGAGTTGGATGGGACCACCATACATATGGGCTCCCCTTCACAGAAAACTCATCACCAAGAAAGGGCTCTCCTGCTTGTTTTGCAGCTTGTTTTGCAGTGCTGAGGATTAAACCCAGTGCCTTCACAGTGAGCTACATCCTCAACTCTGTTTTTTTCTTTTGACACAGGGTATCACTAAGTTGAAAAGGTGCCCAAGTTAAACTCAAAACTTTCAATCCTCCTGCCTCAGCCTCCCAAAGTGCTAGGATTACAGGCATGCACCACCATGCCTGGCTCCCACTGCTTAAATTCAGGTGGTCCACGTGACCAGGAGCCATAACAATGTCACGTGAGCAGAGGTTATGTGGATCATTTTCAGGATGAGGGAGTTGAAAAACTTATGTGTGTCTCCATTTTCTTTTTTCCATTCTGAATACAGAGGCTCCACTGCCCTCAGAAGACCCTGCACCCTTCAGGGATAGGGGAAGCAGAAGGAAAAGAACCTTGGCTGTCTGAATCACCTGCATTGGATTTAGCAAACATGAGACAGAAACCATCATCTGTTATGCATGCTTCTGACATTTGAAGGGCTCTTTCTTACAGCGGCTCTGGCTATCCTAATTAATTCACTGTTGTAAATCCAAGCACAAAGTCTGCATCAGCTGGTTGTTGCTGGGTAGGCACACAAGGTTGTTCCAACTGTCTTCTGCTGAAAGAAAAGTCAGAAAACTCAGATTTTTACGTGAGATCACTGCACTTTTAAACATCTATAAATTTAAACTTTGGCTAAATACTAAAGAGATGAATATTGTGAAGGTCGAACCCAGCTATCTCCCAGCTGATTGAGTCTGCTGGTCACAAGCTGTCTTGAGGACTGATGTGTGTGGTGTTCCACCTGTGGTGCCCATTCAATGAGGATTGTGCTCCACTAACTGCTTAAATGAGGGATCTGGAGCCAGGGATTTAGCGCAGTGGTTCTGCTGCCTGCCTGGCAAGGTCCTGAGTTCAATACCCGGTACCAAAAAAAAGAGTCTAAATAAGGGATCTGGAAAAGGGAAAATGTAGGGGGTATGGAATGTCATCTCCAAATGTCTGTCACCTTTGCCTGTTTTTCAGTGGAGATATATGAAGAGGCCAGGGAGCCCCTGCATTTTGAGGGGACTCTCCTCTCCTTGGAGATTCTCACAAAGAACTTGAGATGAAGCTTCTTTATAGCATTCATATTTTGTAAAGAGGACAAATTTCACTTCTTACAACAAGTACAGTGCATTATTCATTGAGTCTTACTGTATATCAGAGATGCCGGATCTGCTCTGCCTCTTGTCAGGTCTGCCTATCCTGTGGAGAGGGACCAGGAAAGAGGGAAGACGTACGATCAGAGGGAAAAAAAAAAATGATGTGGAGAGAGACAAGATTATTTCTGCAGACCTGTGGATCAAACTGGGATCCTTGCGCTTGCACAGCAGGCGACAAAACCACTGAGCTAAATCCCAGGCCTCTGCAGATCTTTTTGTAGTCGGAGTGACAATCATTTTTGTCAGTATTCCCACAGAGAGCGGGGGTGCCGCAGTGGTAAAGTGATCGTCTAGCACAGGCAAGGCCCTGGGTTTGATCTCAGCCTCACAAATAAAACAAAATATAATGTTCCCAAGGAAAATGAGAAGGGGGAGAGGGAGTGATCATAGTTTATGTAGCAAAGAGAAACCAAAGGGTCAAATTACTTGCATTCTGTATTCTGACCCCAACAGGAAAGTCTATCCATCTACCTCATTTCAAATCCTTTGCTTCTCCTTCTTCTTGGTTGCCATCATCATCTCCTCCTCCTTCTTCTCCTCCTCCTCCTCCTCCTCCTCCTCCTCCTCCTCCTCCAAATTCATCTTTGTCTTCTTCATTTTTTAGTTTGTTTGGGGGTTTTTTTTGAGACTAGGGGTGTCTATGTAGTCCAGGCTGACCTCAAACTTCCGATCCTCCTGCTCAGCCTCCGAAGGGCTGGCATTACAGATATGCACCACTACATCTGGCTCTTCGTTTCTTTAAATGATGATAGAGGGCCGGGGATTTAGCTCAGTGGTTTTGCCGCCTGCTGCGCAAGCGCAAGGACCCGAGTTCGATCCCCGGTACCAATAAATAAATAAATAAATAAATAAATAAATAAATAAATAGTGATAGAATGTAAATAACATAAAATACAAAAATTAATCATTCTACGTATTTTTAAGTACATTTCAGTGGCATTAAGAACGATCACATGATTGAGTGACATCACCCCCGTCATCTCCAGCACGCTCCCATCTGCCCGCACAGAAACTCTGCCTGTGGAGCAGTAATGCCCTCGTGGGGTTCCCTCCCCATTCCCTGGCAGCCACCATCCTGCTGTCTTCTCCATGAGACTGACGACTCAGACCTCCCGTTCAAGGGCCCGCCATGCCTTAGTCCTTCTGGGGCTGGTTGATTTCACTTAGCATAGTGTCTTTGAGGATTATCTGTCTCGCTTCATTTTTAGTTGATCACACACTGGTGGCATGATGTGCATCCATCATCAGCTTTGCACACACGAAGTCCCTAAACATCATTGGAGAGAAGCGCTGTGTACAGATCAAAGGGCAGAATTTCAGAGAACTGGAAAGAGCATCAGAACTTGTATTTTTAACATACATGTGCATTTTTTTTTTTTTTTAAGAAATGGAGCACATCTTCTAGCACCCTCTCTGAAGTGTGCTGACACGCTGGCCTCCTCAACTTCCACCCTGCTGACTCTGCCACAGGATCAGCAGTTGTCACCAGGGCCATCTTGGAGGAGGGGTAACAGCCTCAGGGCTCTTGTCCAATCCCCAGAGCAAAGTCTGCCTGTGCCTATCAGAGACAACCAGCCAGCCTTAGTTTAGAGT